TTCATTATCACAAGATTCAGTAACTCATTTCATTGTCAAGATAATCCCCTTTTACTCTTTCTTTTGCGCTTGTGAAGTTTGCCAAAATGACAAATAAAATCCCAGATGTTATACACCCATTGAGGTCTCCACCTTCCCTCCAGGGTTGGGTTTAAGCTACTTGGGGCAGTGTCAGAAATGACAAGGCCCTGGTGCCCACACCCAATATTCACTCAGGTCGGTGAGCGGCCCATCTGGCTGCTGACCAGCTGTGCTTCCACTTCAACCCTCAGTGGCTGCTTCAGGTCAGGTCTGTCCTCTGGCTCTGCCTGTCAAAGAATTCATTTCTTATGGTTCAGGCATTGGGAAGAAGTGCCATTCCTTTGTAAAAGCGACAAAAGTCTTTGGGGTGTTGTAAATGGCTTGTTATGGAACGTATTCTCTTAGGCAGTCGTGTCTAATTGGATGCTTTACTTCCCCTCGGCTTCCCGACATCTCCGGAGCATCCACTGGTGCTGACAACGCCTTGAGAGCGTGTCCTCTGGAGATCCAGCTATCTGGAACGAAAAGCTGGAGCTCCACTTTCCGCAATTAATGGCCCCGTTTCACTTTTCAGTACATGAAAAGGAACTCTAGGTTCTTTATATTTTATTGGTCCCGAATTCAGTGAACATGAGAGGAGGCATTTGTATATGTGAAAAATAATATGGTTATGCTTTTCCCCGTTTTTGTTTATACACAGAGATAAGTACATCTGGATGACAGAGGCAGGGGCAGCGAAAGTTGTTTAAACCATAGCTCTCTGACTAGGAGTTCAACTCATGGCTTTCTGCGTGGATGAAAAGTCCCTTTGGAAAGGGATGCTTGCAGCTCTTCCCATTTCTGACTAAAATGCCAAACAAGATGGCCTCACTTAGGCTCCTCCCCTAACCCTTTGTTCATTCCCTAATTCCCTTTTCCTTACTTTACATGGAGATTGCTAATCTAAGTGCCCCCGTGAAAGAGCAAGGAAACCTACAGTAAAGCTATTTCACAGCCTGAATTGTGCGCCCTTGTTGCTGAAATCTAAGGAGTGCCGCCCTAATAGAGCCATAATTTACTCTGACAAGGGGAGCAGAAGTCTGCAGCTCCTTCCCTCCCTGCCTGTGGAAAGTGCTACACTGCTATCCAGGATTTATAGCTACATACTCATGGCTTCTCGAAAAAGACACGCTTCAAACGGCAAAAAAGACTGTGTGTGTGTGTGTGTGTACGCGTGGGGGGGAAAGGTGGCTGTTTTTTAAAAAAACATACTACAGAATGGGATGGATTTCATGGAGAGCAGAAGAAATATTATCTGCCTTAACATGATTCTGAAAATAAGATATAATTTCTAAGTGAGATTCACTTTGTTATTGATAATACAGTCGTAGGTGTTTTTTGTGATATTATACACCAACTTTTAAAATACAAGTATTACGTCTACTAAAATCAACTTTAGGGCCCCTTTCCCAAAGACATATGGAAGAACGTAAGTATTCTAGCAGAAATACAAGTTAAGTTATTATAAGTCACTGTTACACTAGCATCTGCAGGTGGAATTTAAAAAAATCAAGTCCCTTGAAACTCTCATAGTTGAGGATTGCAGAACAGTACAGGAAACTAAGGAAAACTCCTAGATTTAAAGTGGAAAATATTTAACCATTTCATTTTGTTTCAAACAATGAACACATTTCAGTGAGTAATCAGTACATCTTTCGTTGTAAAAACCAGTAAATGAATATAAAAACATTTCAGATTTAAACGTATTGACAATGTCTTGGGAAGAAAACTAACTTTCCCCCTTTACTTTTTTATTATTCCCTTTTCCTATGCACTTCCCCTAAATTTATGACAGTTAAATGATAAAAAATACAACTAGGCAAACTGAAGTATTTTTGTACCTTTCAGAAGTGAGGAAACATGCCTATAACACATTCTCAATTGTGTTTCTCTAAATATTCCTTAGAACATAAGATTCCTCTAGCATTACACATCTATTTCAGCTCCTAAATTAAAACTCATCTGGAAAGGACCATTTTACCCTGTTTATATAACATTGTCACATAAAGAGTGTTAAAAAAAATATTTCACTAAAAATAGCTTGCGTAAGTTAGGGATTAGAGTAGTTTCTGCTGCTATAATTATTCCTTTGTAGTTTTTTCCATGATGTTTTTGCACAGTGTTTTTGACTGTGTTTATTAAAGTCAGCACATCAAAAAGGATCAAAGAGAAAGTGAGTGAGAACCAAAGAAACCCCAAGTGTGTTGTCTCATTGGGGAGTTATGCAGATTCGCATAAACAAGTGCAAATTGCTGAGGTTTTAATGAAAATTTTCTACAATTATTTTATCTTAAGTCATTCTATACAATAACATCTGTACAGCAGATGGTTATACTGTACCAAGGCACTGTTCCTTTTTCTTTCTCTGTTTAATAGTACATCTGAGATGACTACTTTTGTCACTGTGCTCAATTTGGTTCAGCAAATAATTTGAAAAGTGCAGCTGCTGCAGATGGTCACAATAGTTATATAAACTATAAAATCAAAGACACAGTTAAGTATTTCTGTATTAGATTCAAACTATAAAAATTTGACTTTAACTCTGTTGAGCTCAAAGATATACTATAAAAATTTTGGTCAAATGCATAACGATGTCACTTGAAAAATATGAAATATGACTATTGATAGATTTTTTTTCTTTTTGGTGGGTATCACTTTTAACTACTTATCAAAAATATACCTCAAATAAAGAATTACATGTGTTTTACCCAAGTTCCAAAGCATGGATTTTTAAGATATTCAACTACACAATAAAATTAACGCTTAAAGCTTAAATTATACTTTACTTTAAAAAAGTTTTGCTTAGTTAAGAATCACTTTTTGAAAAACATGTAGTAATCTCTCAATTATAATTTCCTAGAAATTAGTCTTCAGCAGAAACTAGAACTTATTCTTATTTTACTTAATTATAATTTATTATTATTTTGCTGACTTTATCTTCTTAAAATGTTTGAGCATGTCATTCCATTCAGCAGAAATGCAGAGAAACCCGATTTGGTATTCGTTATGCTCTCATAATAAAACTGTTCAGTTTAATGGCTAACTTCGAACTGTTTTAGTTTGCTGACATAAATAACTATTTTAGAACATTTGCTGGATACCACAATTAGAGTTGTATAATTTATGTCTTAGTCAAAGCTATAGTTGCTACTTCTGTGTTTGACTAGATTAAAAAGCATAAATATAAAAGAAATAGGGCATGCAGTTTTTCTAGGATTGAGTGGAAAAAACAAATACAAATACAGAATGAGTCTATGACCTTGTCTAGCTCAGTGAGAGGATTTTCATGACATGTTAGAGATGTTTACAAGGATAGACACATTAACCAGTTAACTGCCACGATATTTTGAATTTAATTAAAAAAGGTCTGCCGCTTGCATCTATAGACGCTTATGGCATACAAATGGTTAAATGTGGATAAAATATTAGTAGCTAAAAAATAAAACAAGAAATGAGGCTGAAAAAAGAAAAGGATGTAGAACTGAGCACAGTACATTTAAACTCTCACTCGGGTTGAGTCCTAGCCTTTCCCTGCTATATGATTAGGTAAAACTGGAAAGGTGTGGAAACCGGTCCAGTGTTGTTTGGGTTGCAATGTGGATAAATCAGATATTGTAGCCCAGTGTTTCATAATCTTTCATGCCCCATGGACCTTACATTTCACTTCTAACTTTTAAGACAATAAAAAAAAAAATACAGTGTTTTCAGCTGGCTTGGTCACAAATATTTCTGGTGAGAAAGAAATAAATCATCTATTTTTTGGCCTAAAATTCATACTTCTCAACTATAAAACTTTTTCTTTATCTCTTAAACTACTGTGCCCAAACTGCTATATGGAACTAAGTTATAGTTAGTCTCCAGCTGCCACTTAATTACTTTTTTTGGTAAGCCACTACATTGCATATAGTTTCAGGATTTACTTTACCCCCCTATCCCCCAATTCTTTCCTGCAAATTAAAGTGAGAAAAAATGTTTCCCTTTTGCTACTTTTACTTTCAAAGTAAAATTTCTGGCACGGTGCCCTGACTGTCACAGTAGCAGCTCCAGTGACTGAAAGCTGTTATTCCCACCTGTGCCATGTCTTTGCCTTCCCTCCCCGCACTCCTCTGCCTACCCTTTCTGACTCAGGGTGAAGAAGCACGGAACCGTTTAGTCATGGTAACAAAAGAGGAAAATGTAGATGTCACTGCCTGTTACCTTCTCACCTCTCCACCACCCATCCAGGACACCCGGTTGCAGGGCCCATACCTCCTTGTCTTTGCTGGGCTGGGCAGCATACACGGCTTTTCCTTGCTGGGGCTGCTGCCTGGCAATCCGCAATGGCCCTGTCCTTGCAGAACTGAACCCTGACTTCTAGTACACTTTGGGTCGCATACCTGCCACTAGAGCATTCTCTCTTTTTTAAATCAACTGTTACCAGGGACTTAATGCAGTGCACCGGAATCACCTGTACGACTTTTGCAACACAGACTTCTGGGCTCCATGCCCAGAGTTTCTGATTCAGCAGGTCAGCAGTAGGGTTCAAGAATTTGCATTTCTAACAAGTTCTCAGCTGCTGCTGCTGCTGCTGCTGCTGCGGCTGGTTCTGCGACCATACCCTGACAACCGCTACTCTAACGGCTGGCAAAACCATTTCTCCTTGTTCCACTGCTGCTGTTCTAGGGAACAGAAATTTAGGAATGAACAGCTTTAAAGACATCTGCAGGAACATGTCCAAAGAGGTGGAAAGGAAGAGTTTAGTTTAGCACATTAAAATACTTAAACGCTTAACGGATTTGTTATAAAATTTTCTCTACAATAAGGTCACAAACCAGAAATACCCCATCTCTGATGGCCCTTAAAACTTTTAACCTCCAAATAATATAAATCATCACCATTATGCATTTCCTGATGGTACCAAGTCACATTGTCATCTCCCTCTCCCCTCTCCTGTGACTTACCAGGTACTTTTTGTGCCGCTTTAACATTCAGGCTTCCACTGAGGGTCGACAAAGATGCCAACAGGCAAGGCTTGTTAGGATGGGGGACAGTTTCCATGGCGACCACAATCTGAGTAGTATGGACAGAAATTTTTTGAAAGCAGGAAACAGCTCTCCACATGTTTTCCCGAAATGGAACCTTTCGTGCTGCATCACCATGAACTTTGGATTTAGACAACTTCCCACGGTAACATTTGGAGGCTGGGAGCTCATCCTTAAGCCGCACGGTGTCCGACGGCGCCAAAGTCTCGTTGCCGTGTGCACTTCTGATCTTCTTTAAAAAATGGTTGATCTGATCCAGCTTGGTAAAACTCAGGTTTGCTTTCAAAGGCTTTGATATATCCAAGTTGATGTCAGCTATAGAATTGAAAAAGATTTTTAAAAAAATTACTGAAGCTCTCTTACTGAATATATAAGCCTTTACTTCCCGTCAAGTTCCTACTGAAGTTCCCAACATCTGTATTGTGGACTCATTAGAATGCCAGATGTTGTCATCCTTTTACTAATCACCTAACTATTCTTTCTGTGTAGTTACTTGAAGAACACTTTCCCTGGGCTACTTCCATGCCCACATTCCTGCCTAATCCATGTGACTCCCTGCTCCTGACAGAATCAAGGCCACACATCCACTTTGTCCTCTCAACTGAGGCTAAATGAAGCAGCCTTTCCAGTTTGGTACTACGACTGGCATCCCTTCTTCCAAGGCAAAAGGACTCCCCCTAGTATCCAGCACAAAATTTGACACAAATACTGGTATCAACAATATGTGTCCGACTGACTAAGTGAAGTAGCCTCCCTACCATTCTCTTATCAAATATATGCAGAAAATGTTTGCTTCTCCTTGTGGCCTGTTGCAAACTAGAAGACTCCCTACATCTTTCCCCATATATTTTGCATTGATAGCATTTCAAATACCTCATCATGGGTAGACTGAGATTTCTTAAAACCTATAGTCCATTTTACATGTATCATATACCAGAAGTTGTCCTTATCTGCCACTTAGCTGCCAGACATTAAAACTAATAGTCCTATTATTTCTGTGTTTGCCTTATTTGAGTGTCTTTATGTTTTTATTATCAATAAGACATAAAACCATAAGCATCGTGAAGGCAGAGTATGTCATACACCTTATGTCCAAGGACTAGCATAGTGAGTCTCGCCTGTGTATCTGTTCAACCAATATTTGAGTTTAACTGAATCTAACAAGTGTTCTTTTCATTGGAGCCTGAAGATATAATACAAGACATAGTCCCAGATGAAGCTAGGAAGAGCAAAGTAATTAAGCAGCTAAAGTTAATAGTCCTTATTAATAATTTCATTATCTACATCTCTCTTCATAAGGAGGACCTCCTCTCACCTTTCTCGGGCATCAGCACCCATGGGTTTCCTCCTGGCTACCCAGGCTCCCTCAGGGCACTGCCCCTTGCAATGTGCCTTCTCTTGGGTTTCTTTGATCAGGGTTAGCAAAACTCTGAGACTCCAGCTTTTCACTAGACCTCTGAGTCACCTGACTGCAATATTAAAAAGTTCCCTGCTCCATATTTTATAAACAGGAAAAAATATCTGAACTTAAAGGAATTACCCTTTAAAAAACATTTTGTTGACATATAACTGACATGCCGTACAAGTTACCTTTTTAAAGTATACAATTCAATGATTTTTAGTATACTCACAAGGCTGCACAAGAATCACCACCATATAATTCCCGAACATAATCACCAGCACATACACACGAAATCTCACACCATGTAGCAGTCACTCCCCTCCATTCCCTACCTCCAGCCCCAGCAACCACTACTTGAATTTCCGTCTCTACACAGTTGCCTGCTCTGGACATTTCACACAAATGGAATCACACAGTCTCTGGCCCTATGTCTGGTCTCTTTCGATATGCTTTCAAGGCCCATTCCTATTGAAACATGTGTCATCAGCACTTCACTCCTTTTTGTGGCTGAGTAAGGCTTCATCAAACGGGGACACCAAGTTTTGTTTATCCATCATCAGCTGATAGACATGTGGGTTGTTTCTACTTTTTGACCGCTATGAACACTCACGTGCAACTTTTTTGTGGACTTTTTCATTTCCATCGGATATCTTCCTAGGAGTGGAACTCTAGGTCATATTTGATTATGGCCATCCTAGCTGGTATGAAGTGGCATTCCATTGTGATTTCCAGTTGTATTTCCTAATGAGTACTGGTGTTGAACATTTACTCATGTGCTTAGTGGCTATTTGCATATATTCTTGGAAAAATGTCTATTCACATCCTTTGCTCATTCTTAAATTAAGTCATTGGTCTTTTTATCATTGAATTGCCCGAGGTTTTTATAATCCTGGATACAAGTCCCTATCAGATATAGGATTTGCAAATATCTTCTCTAGCTCTGTGGATTGTCTTTGCAGTTATTTTGATGGTATCATTTGCAGCACAATTTTAATTTTTGTGAAATAAATATACCTATTATTTTGTGTGGGCTTTTGGTGTCAATTGATCTGCAAATAATGACTTTCCAATTTGGATGCTTTTCATGTTTTCTTCTTGTCTGATTGCTGTGGCTAAGACTTCCAGGATTATGTTGAATAAGAGTGGTGAAAATGGACATCCCTGGCTTGTTCCTGATCTTAACAGAAATGCTTGTAGTTTTGTGCCTATTGAGTATAATGTTGGTTGTGGGTTTGTCATATATGGCCTTTATTACATTGAGGTATGTTGCCTCTATTCCCACCTTGCCGAGAGTTTTTATCATAAATGGGTGCTGGATTTTATCAAATGCTTTTTCTGCATCTTACTGATATGATAATGTGATTTTTATCCTTCATTTTGTTTACATGGTGTATCACATATATTGATTTGCAGATGTTGTACCAACCTTGCATCTCCAGAATAAATCCCACTTGATAATGATTTATGATGTTTTTAATGCATTGTTGGATCTGGTTTGCTAATATTTTGTTGAGGATTTTAGCATCTATGCTTATCAGGGATATTGGCCTATGATTTTCTTTCTTTGTAATTTCTTTTTCTGGTTTTGGAATTCGAATAATGTTGGCCTCATAAAATGAGCTTGGGAGTCTTCCTTCCTCTTGAATTTTTTGGAATGGTTTGAGAAGGATAGGTCTTAGTTCTCTGAAAGTTTTGTAAAATTAACCTGTGAAGCTATCTGGTTCAGGACTTTTGTTTGTTGGGAGTTGTTTTTTTTAATTACTGGTCCAATTTCACTAGCTGTCATTTGTCTATTCAAAGTCTCTGATTCTTCCTGATTCAGTTTTGGAAGATTGCATGCTTCCTGGAATTTATCCATTTAGTCCCAATTGTCCAATTTGTTGGCATATAGTTGTTCGTAATATTTTCTTACAACCCTTTGTATTTCTGTGGAGTCAGTTGTTATAGAAATCTGACTTTAGACTTATTTAATTCCCTCTTTTCCAGGTCCAAATTCACTCACTGATTAAGTTCTGTCAATTTTACTTCCAAAATATTACTTGAATTCAATTCCCTTTTCTCAGCATTCCTGTTACTCGCCATTTCTTTCCTCCAAGCCTTTGATATTGTTCAGCTATTATAAAGCCTCCTAAATGGTTTCTCTGTCTAGACTGATTCCGGTCAATCTAGCATCCCATGTATTTCCAAATGATTTATGTCTAATGCAATCCTGATTGGCTCACTCCTGCATAAACCTCTTTAATGGCTCTTCTTTCCCTTTGGAATAAAAGATCAAGCTCCTTAGAATGAAAACAAAAAAGCCCTACTTTTCCTTAGATACAGCCATGTCCTCTTCATACTTTAAAATTCCAGAAATATCACGGAGTTTACAGAACCCATTTCCACCAAACCATGTAGTCACTATTAGGCCTTTGCTCACGTTACTCCTTTAGAATGTCCCCTTTCTTTGTCTAACACTTAATCTATAGGACACTGCTCAGCATTTTCTCTAAGAACTCGATCTGTAAAACTGCCCCAGCACAAGCATTTTACATGAGATTATATCTCCCACCAATTAGGAAGATCTGTGAGCACACATTTTTCATCTCTGATAATTAGCACCGGGCCTGAAACGCAACCTGAGGTAGGTTTGGTCACATCATGCTGGAGCCCTCCAAAACATTCTCAGCTGGTTCTGTGCCAGGCAGAACTCCAAGATGACTTTTCGCCCCACGATTCCTGTCACCTGGTTATTGAATCAAACACTAATCCAGATACTGTTGTGTTATAAAGGGATTTATAGTTGTGATAAATATCCCAGGTCAGCTGAATTTAGGACACAGAGCCTATCCAGAAGGACTGATCTAATTACAGGAGTCCTTTAAAAGGCACACGAAGGCGGCAGAAGGGCAAGTCAGAGAGATCTGGAGGAGAAGGCTCTATTACATATCATTGCTGCTGTAAGGGTGGTGGGGATTATGTAGAAGGAACGGGTAGCCCTAGAGATGAGGGAAACCCTGGCCAACAGCTGACACGGAATTTGGGATCTCAGTCCTACAAACAGAAGAAGTTGGATTATAGAAACAAATGGAATGAGCTTGAAAGTGGATCCTTCCCTGGAGCTTTCCGATTAGAGTCAGCCTAGCTGATATCCTGATTTCGGCCTTGTGAGATTATGAGCAGTGACTCCAGCTGAACCCATTAGGACTTCTCACCTACAGGACAGCGGAATAATACGTTTGTGTTGCTGTAAGCCGGTACCATTCGTGGTACTTTATTATGCATCAAAAGAAAACTAATACCAATTCCATATGCATATTTACCCTCATGATATTTCCAATTTCTAATGTGAGCATAATGGACTTTAAAAAACTAGGAATATTTGCCTGTTTATTTTTTTTTTCCCCAAAGCAGAAACATCTCTTTGTTAGTTGCCAATTCCCTCTCTTTGGAAATTATTTCAAGGTTCTGGGAAAGACGAAACCCTGTCTCTGCCACTCTATGCAGCTACAAAATCTGGAGAGAATACAGCTATAAAACCACAAAGCAGCTACTTGAGGGCTCTGAAAAGTAAATGGTAACAGGTAGACTGGAGAGGGCTAGATTTCAAAATACCACCAAAATGGAGGTGAGTTTCTCATTTCTCCTCCCGTATTCCTCAGCCTGGACTAAAGGTGTGGCACTGAGTACAGAAATAGGGAGTAGTACAGAAGTGGGCATAGGGTGCAGAAGTATGAAGTACCAGAGAAACCTTGTATTTCTGGCTTCCGGAAATGGGAAGGAAATTCCTAATGCACAGTGGGTTTATAAAAATCCCTCACTGCTTCCTTCTTTCTTTTCTTCATTCTCTTGTGCTACAGAAAAAAGGGGAGCAGAGAATTTACCTCATTTTATGAAATCATCGTTCCTGATACCAAAACCAGACAAGACAATA